TAGTACTATGCACTTTGCAAATAAATTTCAAACAACTGTTGCACTTAGTAGCATATTTACCATCTTTTTTTCCAGCACAAAATGACAACATACTCTTTTCAGGAGATTTCGGCTTGATCTAGCAATTTGTATAATATTATCTTCTATTAGCAGTTCAAATGATTCTTTGGTAGTCATTTTGAATTTTTGATGAAAGATTGAGATATCTTTGCTAAATAATTGTAAAAATAAAAAAAATATAAAAACACATTTCCACAAAAAACCAACGTAACTGGTATCGTGGGGGCTGCGCGGCCCCCAGAAGGTACGTAGCTCCATCCTTGTAAGTGCTACAGGGCCGAACATTTGGCACTAGCTAAGAGTCACGACGTAATGAGATTACATAAAATGGCAGCTGCGCACGATATTTAGATTTTTAGAAAATTGTAAAAATATGACACGTGGGGGCCGCGCGGCCCCCATAAAACCAGTTAAGGGTTAAGTTTAAAATTTATCTGTGACAAATTTATATTTAACATGAAAAATGAATTAAGTACTTAACACGTGTTGACGAAACTTCAAGGTTTTCTCAACAAAAATAACTCGTTAAACCTTTACACTTCAAAATAATAATTATACGTTATTTGATTGATCGATTTGTAGATTTGATGAGTAATACAACAGATGCAGTGTATAGAACACTGTAGACGAGACAAATTAATAGAAAATGGAGAGGAAAAACAGAAGTAACTCATTAGATACAGTTGGTGTCTTTTCTCGTATATTTTTCTAGTGTGTAATATTTTCTTTCATTAACAATTGAAATTTTGTAATAAAAATTATTTGCTCAAGGGTAATCTCTTAAAAGAATACCCCTGACTTTTTATACCATCATTTCGTGTTATAATACAAGTGTATACACAAATTCTATATTAAAACTTTTAATATTTAAAACTGCAATTCTTCCCACGTGTACAAGATTGTGAAACATACAGTATATATTGATAGGAATTAATAGATTCTTGAGATAAATCAAAAGGATTTAATTAAAAGTATTTTGTTTATCAAACACGCGATGTACTCTGTATTCGACGAGTGTTCAATTTATCGTTTAATCTAATACATTATGCAAAATATAATTAAAAATATAATTTTATTAGGTTATTTAAAGTTATTATTTCAAGTAAGTACTGTAGTAAAAAATTTTATCGTTTATATTATTGCCATTCAAACAGTTTACGAACTTTTTATATAGCTAATGGGGAATAGATTGCACATGAACATAAAATTACACAGAATTATACATAGAAAAAAGATATTTATTTACTTGTATTATTAAATATACGAAGAATCATTTAACGGACGAAGGAAATAAAGTATTCATTATACAGTATTTCACGCTTGACTTCTTCCTGTAATGTACGTATTTGACTTTTTATAAGTATTCAGTTGTTGAAAGTATACGTTGCACAATTTAAATATCGTTCATAACACGTGGCAATTAGAGATGCATAAGGTCTAGTAGAGAGTGGTGTGAATATTTATGAGAATATTTATCAGTTAGTATATTTATACCTGATAAATCTTCGATTATAGATCCAGAATATTCACTGAATTATTTTTGACTAATAATAATTTAACGTTATATTTATTTATTTAATAGTACAAGGGAAACCCTGTATGTACGGGCATATTATCACAGTAAAAATAATAGAGGAGAAGGTGGTATTATGGAACATTGCGGGTATTATGGAACCACCCCATTTCGAACTGATAATAAAGGCGAACTGTAGAGGAATGTGGCTGAACTGAACTAGGCAGACATCCATAGCAAGGGGAAAACCCGTTTTACTTCAGTTAAACGGTTGTCCGCATTTAATCAGCAAATTTGTTTTTTTTAANGAACTGTAGAGGAATGTGGCTGAACTGAACTAGGCAGACATCCATAGCAAGGGGAAAACCCGTTTTACTTCAGTTAAACGGTTGTCCGCATTTAATCAGCAAATTTGTTTTTTTTTTTCAAAATTCGCAAGTTTTGAATGCTAAGTAAATTTAATTATTTTTAAAGTATAAATCGTGTAGGTTCACTGGTTAACGTATTCCGTTCCAGAGACTTAGGCGTACATATTAATCTGTGTGATGTTCACGTTTTTTAAAATTTGGTCTTGACAGACATAAGTTAATTCAAGATGGCGATGCCATTGGTGCTTTTAATATGGAACCCAACTCCTCCGAACTCTTTATTTGCATGCAGACATTCGTCCGGAACAATTTGTGAAAAAGACACTAAGTAGAAAGCCAATTCTTCCCTAGAATATCGAAAAAGAGCTGCTGGAATATTATATTGTTGATGGAAATCATATTTTTCTATTATAAAAGCATTTTTTCGATAAAATACATTACAGTAAATAATTTTGTAATTATTTAACATTCCTTGTACTTTCCTATTTGTTTTCGGATACATTACAGTATTTTTTGAAAACGTACAGTAAGGTTCCATATTACCACCCGGTTTTCCCTAATCCTACTTTCTGACAGTTTGTACAAAAGCCTTCAAAAACCATACTTATAGTTACACTAACGAAAAATCCAATTAGGAACATTTAGTTTAATCGTTATCGGTACTTTTCGCACAAAAAAATGTGGGTGTAGTTATGATACCTTGTTTACAATTCACTATAATGAAAATGGGCTTCCATAATACAACCTTCTCCTCTATCAATTATTACTAAATTTATACTAACATTATTATTAATAGCACAGCGCGTAAAATTAGCCTGTTAAAAGAAAAAAAGGAGCAATACAATATTAATACTAATACCAAACAATACCGACAACAATAATAATTATTCAACAAAAGAAATAAAAATACACACAAAAAACTGCAGCGAATAGTCGAAGCAAACAAAACATTCTATAAAACAATACTCAAAAAAAAGAGTAAACAATTACTTGAATAAATTAAATTATTAATTATAATAGACTACTCCCAAAAACGCCGACCATAAACGCTGCCTTTAACGTTAATGCAGCGGATTAAATTCATTTAATCGGTAGTTTATTCATTTTCATTCTTCGCGTAATTATTTTAATAGTTTTATTTGTAAATTGTTTTTTCCCTCTCTCTCTTTGTTTATGTCAATATATATATATATATGAATATGTATAATTATGCCCTTTTTCTTTTCTTGCATTAGTAAAACCGTATGTTAATTTGTTTATTTCAATGTCTTCATTGTTTATTACTAGTGTGAAGGAACTTTATCAATATGGTTAACAACAGCATCAAGGATAAATTGATCCATAAAGTAGAAGAAGTTCTGTGCAGATCTACTTTATAAACTTAAACATTGTGTTCAAGGGAGATAATCGAGGGTTAACATCTTGTTTCAGGTGGTCACACCACCATTCCTTGCTGTCCCTGCACGAGCGAAATTCCATCAACTTCAGTGTAACACCACTCCCTACTAGACCTTATGCATCATACCCATAAAGGTCATGCCAGTAGTTTATAGTGTTATGCACTTAAAGACTTAAGGTTATATTTAAACCAAATACCCAGATACTTATATTTCTCAACTATTTCAATTTCTTCTTTATCCAAAAACCAGTTAAATTTACTTGATCTTCTATTTCCATTTTGAAAGGCCACCATTCCAGTTTTTTTTATATTAATTTGCAAGTCTGTCAATCGAAAATCTCAGCAAACCGTCAATTGCCAACTGTAATTCTAACGGGGTGTCAGCCACAATCACCACATCATTTGCGTACAGCAGGACCATAATATATGTATCATTTCCTAACCATAAACCATTAAATTTTGAAATTTCATTCAAACTATTTACCAGACCATCAATATATAAATAAAATAGTAATGGAGTCAATGGACATCCTTGCCAAACTCCTTTGTTACAGTAGACGGATTCTGAAGAAGTTCCATTATTATGAAATTATCATTACATTCGTTTAAAATGAAAAATATTTGGTGTACAGAGTCCCAAAGTGTAAAAATCTTGAGAAATATATTATCAAGATTTGTACATTTTAGGGCCCAGTGCACCTTGAAACCCCAGATATGCAAAAAATTCGGGTCTTTTTTCTGTATGTATATGGTAGTTTGTGTTTGTGTATGGTCAGGTGTTCGTGTGGGAGGCACGATTTTTTTCACTCTTTTTATATTTTAATAACTGTCGTGTCTTTTGTCGAAATTTTCTAAAATTTTGTAGGAAGGTTGTTATATAAGGGAATTGATGCCATTAAATTTTAGTGTTAAAGCTGGAACAGGTGAAGAGGGAAAGGGGTCGTTTCATATCTCGAGTACGGTTGGACTTGACGACGATTTTACTCGTTATTAGCATTTACAATTTATTTTATAAAACCTGTCTCTATCCTCCAAATTAAACTCTTTGCCATTATCTCTTTTTCAGTTGGATTTTCCCACTAATAAACGAAGGAAGAAAGCGAGTTTTAAAGGAAGAAGATTTATACAAATGTTCAAAATATCATACTTCAGAGTATCTCGGCGATCTGCTTCAGAAGTAAGTTAGTTATTATTTAGTTGTGGACATGGATATATCAGTTACTGCTACTTAATTATTTTTAGCTTTATTTGTGATTTCGTTAAGCGTAATAAAACTAAATAGCAAAATAAGCGATATTCATTTTATTCTTTATTACTTTGTAGTAAAATACTCAGCTCAGTACTTAACAATATGAAAATTTATAGCAAAATTTATAATATTTATTTCATTTACAGTAAATATTTTATCGGAGTATTACAATACTATTTACTTTTAGTATATTTCTTTCAAATTTCATTAGGCCTACTTAAATTTTTTTACAGTCAAAATAATATAAAAAACGCATTACATCGTGTTTTTTGTTCTTATAAGCACGTGAATGATTAATTAAATTCAATGTGTTTAGTGCTCTGAAATACATAAACTAGGAGAATTAGTCGATGTGTCTGATAAAGTACAGTGGGTGATTAGTTAGCGAACATAATAGGTTCCAAGACTTTGTTCTTTATCCGATTATCGATTTACTAAAGGAATTTGATTAATTCGTTCCGGAGACTTCAAAAAATAAAAAATAAATTTTTTTACTACGTTTATGTACATGTTATAGTAAAAAATATGGTTAATGTTACCTATGGTTCAAAAATGGCGGAACTTCCTGTCGCCATTTTGAACTATTCTCGAGACTGCGCGATAACCGATGTTTTGAACGGAGAGGACACGCCTCCTAAATTAAAATAACTTATTCTAGTAAATTTATAAAAATATTACTTACGTTAGTGATCTTTTTTTTTTCTTTCCTACGTTTCTTCCCTGACGTAGTCGATTCCTTTGCACTCGTTGACGTTCTTTTCAATGTCTTATTAGTCAATTTCTTTGTTGTCTTCTCCTTTTCCCTCCTCTTTCCCGCGTTTCCTTCTTTTTAATATTAGAAACTGGTGTGGCGGGAACATTCTCTGGTTCTGGCAATTTTGGTGTTCTTCCGGTACCTGGATATATCATACTCGAGTGTTTTACAAATATTTGAAATCTTTCTCCGGGTTTTTTAGCGGGCCAATTCATGAACTTCTTATGCATAAACAAATACATGTATGAGTCCGCCAGATCATTCGTGTAACGCTTTGGCAGGTTTTTTATTTTTTAAATAACCCCATAACCTTTCAATGTTTTGAGTATAATCACCTTTCGGGGTTTACAAAGTTTTTTGAATGATTAACTGTTCTATGATTAATATCTATCGCTTCAATGTCGTCGATGTGATTAATCCCTTCCATTCATCGGTGATAATTAGACTACCAGAATTTACAAATTTAGATACAATCCAATTTAGGGTGGTTTCATATCTGTCATTCACTTGACAAATGAAGCAATTTTTGTCATCCCTGCGTATTCCTCCTATGACGCATTTTGTAGATTTCAGTATATGCCCCTTTTCTTACTTGCGTTTGCATATTACTATAATTCGACAGTTTTATTAGGACCTCCTATTTTAAATAATGTCATGTTATTCAAGGCTATAAGCATAAATAAGCGTATGTGGTTTGACCAATCGATGCCAGCCTTTCTAGAAATACCTGCAGCAACAGCCGAATTTGTTGACGTACATTCCAAAGATAATGCCATATGAACGAGAAAATTCCATCCCAGGAAATATTGTCACATTTGCCCTTAAAGGTTCCTTCGTAAGCAGAATACTAACGTAAAATTTGTGGGTTGTACAACCGGACCAAAATTCGTCGGAATTGATGTCTACAGAACTCGTTATCGCTGTATTACCATTAAACAAAAAATTAAAAGTGTCTTAATTTATAACGCCAAGTGTCTTAATTTATAACACTTTATTGTGTTAGAAGCATAAACATAAAAAAATTAAAAATTAACAAAAATTATCGTAATATTTAATAAAAAAAATTTAAGATTAGATTTTACCTGAATAACTTGCTTGTGTAAAAATAGTATAGAGAAAACTATCATAGAGTACACAAAACATGCAACGACAAACCTTCGCAAACATCTCATTATTAATTTGCATACTTTCGCGAGAAACATTCATCTACTACGTCATATCTAATAATTTGCATATTTACGCACAAACACATTTTATGGATCGTTCAACAAATTTGCATATTTCGTCAGGCGTTGTATCAGATAGCTCCCTCTGTCAACTATTCCACCGAATGCCCTGAATCGAGATTGCCGGAAGTTTCGCCATTTTGGAACATTAACCAAATATATATACACACACACTCTTGCATTTTTATTAGTCATATTTTTTCCGTTTGTGGGGGTTAAAGAATCTGTCCAATGTCGATCGCTTTTCTCTTTTCTTCGGGATTTTTCGGAAGTAATTAATAGTATTGTAATTGTAGAGATCTCCAACCCCATTAACCTTATTCTGGTTTGGATGCCACTCGGATGATCGTTGTTCCGACATCCTCCCACTTCTTCAAAAGATCTTTAGTAGCAAATGTCGACATTGGTCCTCTTTCGTCTTCTTCTTTTTCAAAAGAAAACACATCTCGCCGAGTTTCTTGGTATTTTTCATTTGAGAGTTCTCAGAGTTCTGTCGTTCAGATCAGTTTGTGGTTCCATTATGAGCTCTAAAATGCTCTTTATTTCTCAGATGTGATTTTCATTACTCCATAAGCAGCTCGAGACTTTTCGATATATCTTTCATAGCTAAGATTGTGCCTAACTGTAGACCTATTCGAGCCATAATGCCTAGTAACATCAGACATCTCGCGCCCGCTTTCTACTTTGGCTGTTATCTCTTACTTGGTTTCTTCGTTATGTTAGTTGTGTGTGGCACGATTTGTTCACGCTCTTTGAAGTTTAATAACTCCTATGGTTTCTGTTGAAAATTTCTGAAATTTTGCAGAGAAGTTTATTTATTAGGAATATTGACGCAATTAATTAAATTTTTACAGTTAAAAGTCAAGGGGGTGGGGAGATAAAGGAGGCTGTGTTATATGACCAGTAGAGTTGGACTTATTAACGATTTTACTCGTTATTAACATTTAATTATTTACAAAACTTGTCTCTATCCTCTAAATTAAGCACTTTGCGTTTTTTATAATAATTAAAACATATAAAAAGTTTTTTAAATTAAATATCGTAACGGATGGCGTTACCAAATATTGCCGGGAAACTTAAGCAACTCGCTCCTTGATTATTTTTTAAAGTTACGATTTATAAAGCCGAGTGTATCAATGACTGTGACAGGTACATTTTAAATCCATTAAGTTAATACTAACTTTAACACTATCATCTCTTAATCTGTTGCGTACTTACTTAGAGTGGAGTGTGGTCGTTAAAAACTCAGAAATATTGTAAACTTTAGTATATAATACATAATTCAGTAAGATAAATGCCATCTGTTCGCTGCAGACATTACTGTACACTTTGTAACAACACACGTTACTGAAAATCTATGATTTATGACATGTTCGTGCATGCTATTTACTCACGTCAGTCTAAAATGAAACATTACATGCTTATACTGTGTTAACATTACATCCCTCATCTGTCGTGTAATAACGTATATATATATAAGCACTCCCCATTATGTTTTAAATTTGGCTCTGGATCTTTAGCGCACCACGTGTCTAAATATTAAATATAAATAACCTTTTACTGTATTTCCAAAATAAAGTGATAGTTTTAAGTGCACTATATTGATTTATAAGTTTACAAAAATTCTAGAATAGCCTGACGATTGAAATATTGTATTGCAATTTCATTTCAGAGAATGGAACCAGGAATTGCAGAAGAAGAATTCGAGCATACTGAAAGCTTTATTACGTTTTATTGGTTGGAAATACTTAATAATTATTCTACTTGTACTCATTCAGGTATTACGATAACCGATTTGAAAGACATAAAGAATGTTTTAAAATAATGTGAAATAACTAATATTTATGTTCGTCCGCAGATGACAGCGTTAATTGCGGGCCAAGCATACTTCGTAGGATTAATAATAAATTATTTTGAGAACAGAGAGGAATGGAATCAATACAAGTTCTATGCTACAGTTGCGGGATTTTTTATCCTACTTGCGATTTATTTCTGTACATATAACATTAGTGTGTTTATAACTGAATTATATGCAATGAAGTTAAGGATAGCTTTCTGCACTATTATATATAGAAAGGTGAGTAGCAAATATAATGTACAGTACTATAAGTAAATTTATATGTTTCATACAATAGTACAGTTTTATTAAATGGATCGAATAAATTAACTACAAATGCAAACTATTTGTAAAAAAAATTTTCTAGCAACCCATTGTTCTGTAATTTTATTTTTGAAAGTTGTTTGAGATATATTGTGAAGAAATGAAATATCACTTTGTATAAATAACATACAATGAAGGAAAACGTTGAATAATTACGAACGTTTTCAGCTTGTTTTACAAACATCTTCATGCGTTATATTACATTCGTAATTTCGAATATAATAAATTTAAATAGGAATAAAGGTACACCAGACAATTTATCAAAAGAGGAACGTTACACAAAATCAAATCACATAAATAATCAAAGTTAAAAGATAAAATATAATGTGGAAGTCGAGGGCCGTCAAAAATTAAATCATGCAAGTTTGGGATAGTGTCTTACACTACATGTGTTTTGTCGGACACATCTCCGATTTAGACAAAGAAACAAATATTTACGGCGCGAGGGTAAGAGTCACTCCGAAGTCAAGGAATGAGCCTCTCAGGAGGATGAATGCAGAGTCAAGTACAAATAAGAAAAGTTTATTATCGAAAAACAAAGTTCTGAAAAAATTAAGAAATTGGCCTATTTCTATCTATAAAACGAGGTGGTACCTAATGGGGGTATTCAAAATGCACAACTCACAACATACTAGGAAAAGAGTTGTCTTCTCTTTTTTCTTCACTTTCTCTCCTTGTTCTGTTTTTCCTTTTCGTCTTCTTTCTCCTTTACTTGATCCTTCACTAGGTCGGTTGTCTCTTGTCCATTCAATCCCCCGTCCGGCCAATCAGTCAGTCAGTCTCTTAATCCTGTCTCACTCTGTTAATTTTCGTCACTTCTTTCTGTTTTATTCTTTGTTTTTGACCAATCATGCTTTTGTTCTGGAGGAAGGTGAAGTCATTTGTAAAATGTATGATTGATCATCTAGTAGTCCTTCTCCTCTCTTGCCAAAGAAAATTGATGTGCATGGATAACATACCATCGGTCATATAACACCATTGAAAAAGGGGGAAAAGACAGGCATCCTCTCATCTTTTCTTTCGAATGTTGTGAGATTTATAACAGTTAATTGTAAATTTTAATTAAAGCAAATATATTATTAGCAGAAACATTAAAATATAGTGATTAAAACTAAAATTATACAGATAATGCACCCTACCCCTCTTATAAGTTCTGAAACGTTTAACTGAAACACAGTGTAGATACAATAACAATAATTTTCTTAGGGGGGAATGTTTGGCCTCACAATAATTACAAGAAATGTGTTAAATAATATGAAGCCAAAAATGAAAAAGTAATATTGCTTCGTTTTACTGAGGGGCAATCTATAAATTGATATGCTTTAGTCTTTTTTCCAATATGTATTTTCACGCTGATTGTAATCTTTCAGCATGGCGATAAAAACTTAATGAATGAAATTGCAGTTCGTAAAGAAACAGAATTGGTATTCAGAAGAATATCCACCATTTACAAACTTCTTAGAAATGCATTAGAAAAAATTAAAGCATACCAATTTATACATTGTCCATCGGTCAAACGAAGCAATATTTCATTTTCATTTTTGGCTTCGCTTTATATATTAACATATTTCTTGTAATTATATTTTATGTTTCAATTTTGATAATTCACGTGATTTGATTTTGTGTAACGGTCGTCTTTTGAGAATTGTTTGCTGAAAATTCATAGTTAAATTTATTATATTCGAAACGACGTTAGAATGTTATATTCTAACGATTGAATGTAATATATTGCTCGAGGATGGTTTGTAAAATAAATAGAAAATTTTAGTGATTATTAAACGTTTTCCTTGGCAAAATATGTTGTTGTTGTGGTTTACGTTACTGCTGAGGGTAAGTGGTTGAAAAATCTGTTGATGTATTCGAGGATTTTGAATGAAACTTTGTTTTCTGCAATAATGTTCTACGAAAAGTATTATTTATTGTTTATTTAAAATACTACTGTGAGAATCCGGACTTCAAAGTAGACGAATTAACATCATAATAATAACTTTGTCGAATATCTCTCAACTTTCATGCCTGACAGTATATCTTCCTTTAAGTTTTCATTGTTGATAAAGACTCTTTCTCGCAACCTTTTCATCTGCTGTGCCGATTTCATCATTTCAATACGACAACTAGCCACCAGTTGAGTCACTCATCGTTTAGTTTTTGATCGGATTACTCGTGTGTTGTCCTGTCGAAACCCTTTTCGATATTATATCGCCGTATATCTCAGCCACTAATGCATCATCTCTCTTGTCGGTGACTATATCTACAAGCTACGAACTATTTCTGTCAGAACCATTTTCGGAAGATCTACTGCTCAAAAAGTAATTTCAGAACTTCAGCTCGCTTGACCTTTCAACAACAACAACAACAACCTCGCCGTCATTGCTTCTTGGTCACAGGTGGTGTCATCTTGAAGCGGCACCTCTTTGGTGCTGTGTAAGGATGACATCCAGTTACACTACAGTGATATTTTTTTCGTTGGTAAACAATGCATTGCTAAAATGTTATCGACAACTAAAATGCAAAAAATAATTCATATCCCTTTATGTCCTTATTTTATACAGTTTGTTATATAAATGTCTACTAGGACAGATCTTATTAATAGGACTTATTGTACTGACGTTCGGTTTCTTCAATTAAGGAAAACTTATTCAGAGAAAACAAACAATCTTTATTGTTCATCTGGTATTTCTCCCGTACACACTTTATTTGTGTTTCGAACCTTCAGGTTCCTCTTCAGCAGGTTTACAAAATACGGTGCTGAAAACCAAATTTTTAAAAATTTACGACAATACAATATATTAAATACCGACCAATAATATATAGATTTCAGCATGACATACGATTTCTCTTTTGTTAATTACTTCGATATGTAAATAAATACACAGAAGAACTCCTATCATAATTGTGGTATTATGATAGGAGTTCTTCTGTGCAAGTCATGCTGAAATCTATATATTATTGGTCGGTATTCTTAATATATTGTATTGTCGTAAATTTTTAAAAATTTGGTTTTCAGTACCGTATTTTGTAAACGTGCTGAAGAGGAACCCGAAGGTCCGAAACATATAAAGTGTGTACAGGAGAAATACCAGATGAACAATAAAGATTGTTTTCATCAAGTGAAGAAACCGAACGTCAGTACAATAACTCCTATTAATAAGATCTGTCCTAGTAGTCATTTATATAACAAATTATAAAATGGAAGAAACTCGTCAATTTTATTTCAATTCAATGTAATTAATACGAGTCCACAGAGTTGCACTTTTTGTATTTTATCTAATTTCTGTTCGATTTTGAAATTCTTTTAAATGAATCACCTTTACGTAAGTGAACAGTTGTAGTATGATAGTTCTTCAAGCTCCTGTCGAATGCGTGCATTCAAAGATAATATTCACCTAACGACAAATCATACTGCAGGATGCAGTTTGGATAATAGACCCCTCTTCAGCTGCTTAAAACCGTTTTAAAGCAATGGCCTTCAGTAAAATCATAAGAAATTTTTTATTTAATAATAATTATTGAAAAAGTATTATGGATTGTCAAATGATAAGTGTTACTGTTAAGAATATAAAATAAAGTTAGAAGATTTTAACTGCAAAATACCGAAGGAAGTTGATGATGAATTATATCTTAGACAAGTTATTAGAAAATTTAATGGATTAGTTTGTTTGAAAACTTTACGAAATATTATAGTCGTATTTTTTCATTAAATGATGATATAATTTTCCGAAGATATTCATTCTAAGTAAAATTTTCATTTTCAGGCAATTAGGTTAAGTCCTTCGTCTCTGGAAAGATCGAATGTGGGACAAATGGTAAATCTTCTAGCAAACGACGTCGGCAAATTCCAAAATGTAAGTAAAAAATAATTTTATAAACAACTTGTTTAATTAATATATACCACATAAACCCATATATATCGCCTGTGTATTATACAATCTCGACAAAAATACCTCGGATAAAAAGCTATTTTAATATATTTTCAGTAATCTCAAACAGATATATATTTTATACTTAGAAATACTGTATTATACATTGCTAAACCTTGATTATAACTGAATATTTTAAATATTAACTTATACAACAGCTTTCACACGATCGTTCATTGTGTCTAGAAGAGCCTGTCCTTCATTTCGACTGATTTCTTCCGAAAATTTGCTTGATTTTCTGCTTAACCATGCACACTTTCATGAGGACTTTTTCTCAAAACGTTTTTAATTCTATATCACATATTCTCTACAGGAGAAAAATTAAGACTGCTACGCGAGCATTTTAATGTTTTAATATTATGTTCGGCCAGCCTAGTGTCGATGGTTTTAGAAGTGTGTCATCTTGCAGTAATCTGCTGGAAAAAAATATGTTTGTGATATTGTAATTTTTAATAACGATAGCAGGTTTTCGTCAAGAATTTGTTGGTGTTTTGCTGCATTCACTGATCGTTTATTAAAATAAAAATTTGCTACACTTTGGCTGACACGTCACCCCCCAATATAATGCTAGCTGCGACTTTTATACCATGCAGCACACAGTCACAATGGAATGCCTCTTCTGGTTTTCTGATAAATTTTTCCTCTTGCTTTCAGTGCAGACTTCAAACTTTGCCTCATCACTATAAACGACCAATGTTCATCTCTTCACACCGTCGACCCCCAAAATTTATTAGCATAAATCTTTTTAATACAGAAACCATTCTGCAAAATTTTAGAAATTTTCGCAAGCACAAGAGTTATTATGCTTCAAACAAGAAAACAATTCATACCACACACACACACACACACAAATATACATACCCATTAACACCCATACATACAGAAAAGAAACCTCTGAATGTTTTCCGTTTTTCACCGTTTCAAGGTTCACTAAATCTTAAACATATGGACAGGGGGTTGTTTTTGACCGATCTCCATACTATCTCTGTTATCTATATCGGCGAGGAAAGTAGAAAAGGGGTGTATAACTTCGCTTTCGATATAGAAAGGTATTACGGTGACAATGTCTATGCTCTTTGATGCGACAAGAGAACCTAAGGGAATTTAGACCTAGGAGTCAGAAATTAAAAAGTATTGCGTGCGTCTATCTAAAAATAAACTTTTGGACTAATTTGTAATAAAACATCTGGAAATTAAAGTTGCTTCCGAGTAATTCTTAAACTTTAATAAACAGACGGTTTAGAAAGACATAACGATTTGTTTAATAGTCCAAAACTCCCCTTTAGATGACTATATAAATAAATAATTAAGCTGACTAATATTGTAACTACTAGAATAATAATCTAATGCAAAAACAAAAGTAGCTCGTTTATACTTAATATGTTCATGATATACAATACTTTATGATGTCCGAAATAATTATTCTTAAATTTATATTAATTTTAATCGAGTTAATAGTTATTTATCGGTATATATGAAACACTTTCATTTATTACAGAAAGTTATCTGCCTTCCAGTTTTATTTACATCGCCTTTCTTCATTATTACTTCGATAGTCATGTTGTGGAAATATTATGGATGGACTATTCTAATTGGATTCTTGGTCATATTTCTCTATTTTCCTATACAAATTGCTTTGAGTAAACTATATTCAAAATTGAGGTAACTATTATTTTAAATTATATAATTGTAAATTATCTGTAAATAAAATAAAGAAATCATTCATTATTTAGTAATCATTAATTAAGGTGGAATTGATGCATTTAACATACGTAAAATTTAATGTACTTAATCGAAATCTATGCTACATTAACTGACATTAGAAATGGTACGATGACCAATCTGTTAGCAGAATTATCTAAGATGCCAGGGCTCGAATCCATCGAGCAGACCCAAGAAATTTTAGGATGTATAATACACAAATCCTAGATGAGGGCCAAAATATGTAGACATGCCTTTATGGGCCTGACCGAATTCATTATGATTAAAAACTCATCATATTAACCAGAGGATAAAAAATCAGGCATTAATTAAAATAGTGTTTGTATAAGCGAAAAACTACATTTAGAAACATGCTTTTCATTTTGGAGCGTGTGTAATTTGTGTGAAATTTTACATAAAGGTTATGGTGGATGTTTATTTGGTGCAATAATATGTTAAATAATGTTCGTGTAGGATTTTTATTCTTTGTAAACGTGATATAATCAGACACCGTATCATTATCAGCAGGGGAGGATCTAGGTTTTTCAAGATCTAGCGCTTATCGAAGTCCAATGGGCGCTTTTGTTAGATTAAAAATCTTTAAATTGGGGTTTAAAATTCATTTTTAATAACATTAAAATCAGAGTTGAAATTTATTTATTTACGAAATTGTGTTGAATGACAAACTTTGTATCTTGTATAAAAAAACATAAGAAATAAAAAAATATATACATTGATTAATTACTGACCAATTACGTTACATCGATTACAATAAAACAAATAATACTAAATATTAATAATATAATAATAATGATAATTTATAATAATTTATACTAATTTTTACAATACGATAAGTGCTCATTGTTAATTAAAACGTATTAAAAATTTATGATAACAATTCAATTTTGACTTAAGCCCTATTAGTCCCTATGTAGATCCGCTCCTGATTATCAGACTAATTAAAGAAGCATCAGAGTTAGTCTTTCAAGAAAGTAAATATAATTCTGTATAGATATTAAATGTTTTTTTAAATTTACATCACTGTTGTACAAGTCATAATGCTTTTCCTGCAGAATTAATCATTTGTTACTTTTGTAATCATATTACTAAAGACTCGTTCGCGCTTCGCCAACGGGCTGGCCACGTGAAAAGTTTTTCAGGTTTACTTCACGTGAGAAGACCATAATAAATCAACAAAATAAAAATTTAATAAAACTTAGAACAGAGCAAAAATTACGATAAGAAATTTCTACCTTGTCTTCTAATTCGTGGAGAGAGAGAGTTTACAATAATCGACTATACTATCTCGACTTGAACTTGTTATTCTAGTTGGTGATGAGGTCTTGAGATGGAGGATCAATAATGACTCTTCGAGGTAATCGGAGATGGATGGAGGAGGATCTTTAGAAAATATCATCAACATCCTGGCATAAAACAATATACTTTTAAGTTTGTTATTTCTTTCTCTATATTTGACATACTAATTTCTGCTAACTTCGCTCCAACAGCTATTACCATTGATATATATATCGTTGACTCTGCTTAATATTAACACACAAAAAAGTTTCGAATGTAAAGTATGACATTCTAAAATATTAAAGAAATGTTCAAAATGACACGTTACATTTGTGAACGAAGGAATGTTTGTTAATATGGAATATGTCAACTATCAGGTGATCAATGAAGTCAGAAAGCAAACATCCTCACTGTTGTATGAGAGCATGTTGGGGCTCTTCAGATCTCTTTGGAAAAGTTTGGCGGGAAGCCACTGCTCTGTTGAGACCGTCTTACACATGCTATATAAAATACAAAACTGATGAATACGCTGGTCACTTCATTGGATGAATTCTCTCCGTTATTAGGTAATCGCGTAAGTTACTGTACGATTTCTGTACGGCCATAAGAACGAACTCAGAACCAATTGCATCCACACGAAGTCGAACAAATGAGTTAAGGATTTCGTTCCGATAACCTTGGCACATTACAGTACCGCAGAACAAAATATAGAGATTAATATATCTATCTAAGGACATCTGATTTGTATATTTCGAACAGAATCAATGTGTACTGTACTGTAGTGATGTTTCTATATTTGCATATCACACTCAAAGTATACAAATTCCATTCAATAAAACTCATACATTCGCTCTTTATCTAAGAACTTGTATTTCGAGCTTTTTGCAGGGGAGGTTAGTATAAAAAGTTATTGAAATACATTAAACAAAACTTTTGTAATATTTAGTTCTAGGTAAACGAAGGTCTTTGCTTCAATATAACATTTTGTTTAGATGTAAAATATATAACTAGAATTAAATTTTATATAAATTCATAACAGTATATATTTATATATATTTAAATATAATTCCATAATAGATTACAAGCAGCTGTATTGGGAGACGAAAGATTGAATCTGTTGAACGAGATGATTGCTGATATGAGGTTGATCAAGATGTACACCTGGGAAATGCCATATGCCGCATTAATAGAAAAAATCAGAATGTAAGTGCAGTGAAATACAGTAAAACCTGTTTAAAACGGAACCAAAATAAAACGAATAACTACTTGAACAGAAAAAAATTTTCCAAAAAGTACAGTCGATCCCCCTATAACACTGTCGATTATTCCGTTTTATATGAATTCCATGTTGTACGAGTCACTTAGATTTTACAAATACGTGTACCGGGCTGAGAACGGCTCACGAATTTGTAAAATCTAAGTGATTCGTACAACATGGAATTCATATAAAACGGAATAATCGACAGTGTTATAGAGGAATCGACTGTATTTTTGTTTTAAGAAGTAAACCCTGTTCAGAGCATAAACCACAAACTTTAGGAAATATTTGACACCATCCGATTCCTGTTTACACTGGTTTTATTGCAATTTCTATACGCTAATGTGTTTTAGATAATTATTTTTGGAGCTCTGCAATTGTATTATTTAATTGTTTCTATTTGCAGGAAAGAAATGAAAAAAATTCGAATGTTTTTATACGCAAGCGGAATATCTTATATATTGGCGTATCCTATATCGAAATTATTCATTCTTCTCACATATCTCGCATTCTTTTTAAATGGAGGACGGTTAAATGCCGAAATTATATTCGTCACAATGACATTTTCAATGTATATCTACAGCAACATTGTTACTCTGTTTTCTCAAGCAGTAGGTTTTGTTGCAGAAATTTTGGTTTCGTTAAAAAGGATAGAGGTAAAGAACAATTTTTAAATTATTCTTTTCACATTTGATTACAGCAATACTAATTTAGATATAATTCGAAGATATCAACATATAATTATTAATATTGTTTTGGATAAAGATATCAAATATTAACACTTGTCCGTAACGAAATCTGAATAAATTGAAAGCCTGCCTAGACCAGAAAAGTTACTGAATAGACTATATTCTCTGTTAAATTTTACAACAAACCCGAAATCTTTACAATGAAAACCTATAAAAATTTGCATGTACAGTACAAACAATATCTGAATGGAGCTTGAAATCACGATTCCACTTGTATATGAATTTCTTTTATTTACCTATTTTACCATGGATCATGAAAATCTGTTTTTTATGAAAGAGTTTGAATCTTTTAAAATTAACGAATGTCGCGTGACGATGGACATAAGACACGAATTCATTTTAATATTATTGTTTGATGAACTTGATTTCAGCAAAAACCAAGGAATATAATTGAATACTTTTGACAATCAGGAATTTTCAAAATTATTTTAAGAAATACGATCAGAATACGTTGATCTCTATTATTATAAAGCAATTAGAATTCTTCAAATAGAGACAGAATCACTATTTTGTGTTTTTTCTTACATTCTGTTTTTCATATGGGATTTTTAGACGGGCTTGTTATGCCCATACAAGTTTGGTCAAGCCCGTAGCAATCGGGAGATGTACGTTATATATAATGGATTCTTTTTACTAGACTATCTCATAAAAAGAATTATCGGAGATTGTCTTGCCCGAAATCAATCCCAGATTCCCCAGAATGATGGCCTGACATTTTCACTATCCTTCAGCTGTTCCAATGGTGAAAAATTAGTGCTTTTGGTTCTTGGACTAGCTTGTTCGTGTCCTAATGACTAATTTCGCTAATGTCAGAGAACTCGTACTATACAATTATTCAGCGCAAGTTTTACCAACAAAGCAAAAGATCTTGAAAAAAATTAAAAATCAACTTAAACACCTAATGCCACACTTAATCAATGGATTAAGTGTTTATCGATAAATCGGCTGTTTAAAAAATTTCCGGAGTTTTTCAATCGCCCGAAGTGGATCTTGGAGGAGTCGAAAACCGACTTAATTGCCTAGTTCATCTCGAGCTTATTGAGTATACTGTATTAAAAGCACTAACATTTTTGAAATTTTAATTTAGGATTTTCTCCTCCTTCAAGAAAGAGAGGACAACGCTATCAAAACCATAGGAGAGAGAGAAAATTTAACCGAATGTAAAATACGGATGGATAGTGTCATAGCTGCTTGGAAAAAAGTAAGACATGACTTCAAATTTAAATTAATATAAGATCTTCAATAAAAATAATATGTTTTACAATTCGTATACTCGATACATTTAAAGTCGATCAATTAACAATAATAGTCATCAATTAGAAGATTAATAAGTGCTCCTTGTCCTTAATTCGTTATATTATGCTTATGTCCACTTTGGAAATTCTTGTGAACTAATAGTCTACTCCTTTAGTATAACAAGTCCTGAATACAGTTGACCACCCTATAACACGGTAGATACGTTCCGTTCTTCATGAATCCATTTTGTACGAGTCCTTGCCAATCACAGCCCGGCACGTATGCACTTTACGGACTACGGCTGTTTGAAAGGTTTTCTTCTATAAAATTAATCGATTCTTAGACTAATTCGACTAAACATTTCCAAAACACGTATATTTTTTGGGAATAATCCGTATAAACTATGCTATAAACAAAAAATTGTAGGATTACTTACCGAGTGTGCACCGTTCGACGTCGCCATTGCTTAAGCTTGTTTTCGTCGCGGAGCAGCGTACCAAACGGCGGCCGCGATTTCTGATAAATTATTTTTCTGCAAAAACTTCGTTGAACTTTGGAGACATCATTAATATAAATCATTTTTATGGCCGTTGAATACAGGCATGCTGCTG